CCTGGGTCTCCTCACTTCTATAATCGCCTCCTCCCCAAGCTCTGTCTCGTTATCCCGGCCCTTGGCAGCGGTGGGTGGCAGGGCCTCCAAGAACTGACACTGCAAAACGAGCTCCCCTCTCCTCGCACTGCGCCTGTGCCTGGGCAGGGGAGGCACGGCCATGCTGTCTCGGTGCCATCTGCGGAGCAGAGTCAGGCTCAGCCCCGTGCGCCTGGCTTCAGCTCTGTGGGAAACTGGAGCCTTTTGTGGTCTTGGGATTAAATGCTTTTTGCTGTGGCTAAAGTACTTGAAAAATGCTGCCCTCGGGATGAGGGCACGGGGGCGAGTGGCCACAAGCAGGTGAGGATAAGAGCTGGCAGCACGCCACTGCCCTGTGACACCGCCTGGTGCCGGCTCCAGAGACCTCCCCTGCTCCGGAGCGAGGAGACGTCAGCCGGAGCAGTTGTCTCGGTGTAGCTGACACCCGGTGCGTGCTCAGCCTTCCGGAGAGCAGAGCAGCGCCTGCCAGCCGGCTGCGGAGCGGAGGCGTTCGGGGAGGCAGGGCCTGGGCTGTACCGGGGTCATCCCCGCTGACAGCCCTTCCCCATCAGATAGGGCGCGGGGGTCGGACGCTGTCTGTCCAAGGGAGATTGTACAAGTGGGGTCTTCGTCAACTGGGTGTTAATTGTGTGCTTCCCCCCTAGGGTCGGACAACGAGTCGGATGAGGAAGGTGCAGGGAGGAAGGCGTTGACAGCTCAGGTAAACAGAGGCAGCGTGGCCTGAGGCCAGCTAGCCCTGCCCGTTGGCTTCAGGCTGATCAAGGGCTGTGGGAGTCTGACAGTCCTGCGGCCCCATCAGGGTGCTGTGTCTGCAGAGCACCGCAGGCTGCTCTCCCTCATTTCCCAGCCTTCTGTTGTGGGGACATTTGGCTGAGGAGCTCTGCCTGCCCCTCCACACCAGGCTGTTCCCTGGGACCGGTGGCATCGTGGCCACCACAGGAGGGGGTCCTCCGGCTAGCACCCGACATTAACCCACTTCCCCGGGGCTGCGTGCTCTCCCCTGCGGCATCCCGCAGAGATGTGATTCTGGCTCTGCCTCCTGCCTGTCCCTCTCTCCCCTTCCCTCTTCAGTCCCTGGCTACACGGTCACATACCGAGAAGGGCATCCCTCCCCGAAGCCTGGCTGGGCACAGGCTGCTTTGTGCTCTTTTCCAAGTGGTTCTGCTGCCGTTCAGCCCCAGTTCTGGCACCTCCACGGAAGAAAGCTCTGGGCATCTCATAGCCCTTTGCCTGCTGGAAACCCTTACGTTAAGGCGGGAGACTCACTGGTAGACGCAGCTGGTGCGTGGATACAAGCCAGGGCGGGGAGCGTGACTTTGAGCTCCAAAATGAGGCCTCTGTGACCCAAATTAAGAGATTTCTGTGGTGTGGTGATGGGAGATATCCCCTTTCCCTCTGCCAGCCCTGGGAGGGGGGTAGCAAGCCTTGCGCGCACACGCTTCAGGCTTTCTGCAAACCCAGCTAATGAAATGCTCTCTTCTCTCCCAGGAGAAAGAATATGTCCGACAAGGCAAAGATGCAATGGAGGTTGTGGACCAAATCCTTGCCCAGGAGGAGAACTGGAAGTTCGAGAAAAACAACGCAAGTGTCCCCCCGCCCCACCTGCCGGGCAGCGCTGCCGGCAGAAAGCACGGATGGCTTAGCAAAAACGGGAGGACAAATGAGGCTTTTGAAACCTCCTTGCGACATGAAAAATTAACAAGCGTTACAATTACCTGATTGAATTAGGAATCTATTCCAGTTCAGTTAAATGTAAAATCCCCTCTTATTTAATTAGACGTTTAATTGCCTTCCTGTTTGACAGGAGAGAGCCCATCACTCCTCCCTCTAGACAGCAGGCAGGCAGGGGCGGACAGCTCACCTTTGGTAGGCGTTGGGATGCGGAGCCGTGGCTGCCGGCGTGGGGAGGAGCGGAGGCACGCTGGCCCTGCGGCGGTGCTGGAGGGCCCCGTCGCTGCAGCTTCGGCCCTTGCTCCGCGGCGAGGTGCCTTTGAGCATCCCGGCAAGACCAAGCCAAGCTGGGGTCTGGCCCTTCTGGCCAGCTTTGGCCCAGATGGGAGCAGGAGAGTGTGGGGCACAGGCTGCTCCTCCCACCCCCAAAGCTATTTGTGTGTCCCCTTCCCCAGGACAGGGACCTTGTGGGTGCTGGAGTGTGAATCGGGGATGTCTCCTCTCTGCCTTACATCTTTCCACTGTGGCTTTGCCAAAGGGGTCTGCAAGTCTCACCTCTCGCTTCAGGCAGCACGGAGGCGCACGAAGCAAAGCGGGCCCTGCCCTGCCTGTTTCCTCACCACACCAGCTCATTCCCTGAGCTACAGTAGGGTTTTCTGGGGTACCTAGAGCTCCTTTCTCTCTCCAAAGGGTGGAGAGACAGGGGCAGTGTCTCTGCCCCCTAAAAACAACCTTGCTTTCTGCTTGTGGGCTCGCAGCATGACTGGGGTGAGAGTCCTGCAAACTGCAGTCTCATCTGGTGTTTAAAATTCCCCTGTCAAGTGATCCATTGTCTGATGCCAAACTAGCTGGGCAGATTGTTTTCTTTATCCAAAGGGGGATGGATTTAAATAGACTAATCAGAGTTTAACACAGGGCTAATGATGAAAGGTTATCATCTGTCCATCCCTAACCCCTCCAGGGAGTCTCTTCTCAGATGTAGGTAACAACAGCAGTGTTGGCAAACTAACCCCTTTCTTTTACCCTAGTGTTGGTAGCCGGCTACAAAGGGAATTTGACCTTGAGGTGGAGTTTGCAGGCTGGCATGGGGCGGATTCTTTTTCTGTCTCATCGCTGCTGCTGCTCTGGATATTGTTTTGTTTATGGAAATTTGTGCATGTGCATCTGAAACGTGCTCAGTGCAGTGCCCGTGCTGGGGTCGCTGGCCGGTGTGGGGGGACAGGGGACATTTGAGGGCTGGAGAGGGTCCTTCAGAACGACACGCGAGGGGGGATGGCTCCTGCAGCCGCAGCGTTTGCAGGCTGGCAGACTTTACCCCAGATAGAAGTGATTTATTTTGCTAACGTAAATGTAACTTTCTTATTTCTTGCACAGGACTTTGGTGATGTTGTTTACACTTTTGAAATACCTTTCCATGGCAAGACCTTTATTTTAAAGGTAAGAACCTTCCTGGATCGCTCCCTTAGTCCGTGCGGTACAGGCGAAGAGCAACACTGCTCTGCTCAGAGCCACGGCTCAGCTTTCACGCTCTCTCCTGGCCCTGGCAGGACAGGTCAGGCTGGAAAGCATGCTCTCTTTGCTTGAGACAGATGAACTACACTGCACGCTCTAGGGAATCTCTCCAGGAAAGCCCCTTGGCTGGCAGACAAACTCCCCAGCAAATATGCTGGGCCCCAGTCTCTGCTGGTAGAAGTGGGAGCAGGTGACTGCAAGACTTGCTTCCAACCCCAGCATCTAGGACTAATCTGACCAAGGAGGCTAATTGCAACTAATTGCCAGCAAGACCAGGGCTGAGCGTGCGTCTGCTGCTGCCTGGCATTGAGAAGAGCTGCTCGGAAGTGCCTTGCTCTGTGCCCTCTCGCTGGAGTGGCTTGGCTGTAAACCACGCTTTAATGAAGCATCGGTGCTGCGGTGGCTTTTCTTTGTTCCAGTGCATATGTTGCCTCGCTGGCAGGAGCTGCCAACGGAGCAGCTCTGTATTCGCGAGAAAAAGCTGGATGGTCCCACTTTACTGCGTTAACCATTTGCCTCCAAAGATCCCCTGTCCCACGGGGACGCGGAGAAATGAATGTTGTCTGTGCTGGAGCTCAGAAGAGCTTTTCGGCAACTTCCCGAAGCAATCGCGCACGCAGCAGAACCGCTGATAAAGCGGGGTGAGGGTGGGAGAGGAGCCAGCCTGAGTCAGCCCCAAGGTCCGTCTGTCTCGCCTTGTTACAGACTGACAGACGCTTGCCCTCTCTTACGCCAGCACGGGCCTCGGCAGGCAACAGTTCAACGACTGCTGAAACCTGAGGTCTCGTCTGTCCTCTCCGCCTGCACGCGTGCCCTCCAGGCCCCTGGGAACGGGAGCGCTGTGGCAGAGGGGTGACAGCCTTGGCTTTGCGTGCGCTTGAGCCAGGCCAGCCTCGCTGCTCCCCTCCTGTTTTATCCCGGTTGTTCTTTGTGATCTGTCCTGCGTTCCTTAAAAATAATCTTAGCAAAGCGGAGCGGGGGGGACTGGCTAACTGCTCTGGCTCTGTCCTCAGGCTTTCCTGCAGTGCTCTGCTGAAACAGTTTACCAGGAGGTTATTCTCCAGCCTGAGAAGATGATCCTGTGGAACAGAACAGTGGCAGCTTGCCAGGTGAGCGTGCCGGACAAAGATGGCTTAATCACAGGAGCTCCTTGGAGCGGAGAGTTGGAGCTTCCCAGTCCAACACCGGCTGTCGGCGGTGCCCAGGCCCTACTGGAGCTTAGCTGGATCCGAGTCACTGAGGCGTGAAATCTCCGCCGCTCATCCGTACGATCCGAATGCTCTGCGGTAGCCAGCTGCATGCATGTGCCTATCCAAAAGCCCATGAGGTGGGCAGGGAGATGGGCCAGCGGCTGAGCCAAGCCTGCTTTTGCTTGGTAGGGTTTGGGCGTTTTGCACCGCCAGTGTGGCAGGGATCCGGAGGCAACGCTTGTGCCCCCCCCCAGAAAGGCAGAGGGACCAGTCCCAGGGCAGGAGACAAACCTGTGCACACACTGCCAAAGAGCTCATCCCCCTCAGCCTCAGATCAGCTGCTAAAGACATTCGGGTGGCTTTGAATCCTGCTGCTGTTTTAGGAGAGGGTCTGTGTTGCCCAGCTGTTGGCATACGCAGACCTGCAGGCGCAGTCTGAGGAAATCTCTCTTCTGTTTGTTGTTGTTTTTTGGTTTTTTTTGTCCCCCTCCCAGATCTTGCAGCGGGTTGAAGACAACACGATCATCTCGTACGACGTGGCAGCTGGGGCCGCAGGTGGTGTCGTTTCCCCAAGGTCAGTTTATTCCGCTGTCTGTTTTGTACTGAGCCCCTAAACACCCTCCTAAAACACAGAGAGAAGCATCCGACTGTAGTGAGAGCGCTCTGCCCCAGCTCTGCCGCTCTCCGCTGGCCGGGAGCTCCTGGTGTCAGCGAGGCAGGGCTGCCTGGCTGTGCGGGTATCGCTCCCAAAGGCAAGGAGTCCCTGAATTCTCCTTCAGATGTTTCTGGCAGGAGTCGGAGCTCAAAATCTGTCTCAGTCGGTCAGTCTCCCTGATAACAGTGCTGCGCTGTGCTTTGTCCTTATGTTGACATATCTCTGCCACAGCCTTTCCCAGCAGTCCGGAGAGCAGGATCTGCTCCTTCAAAGTCCCATGCACGTTTTAAAGCACTCAGCGCCCTTTCTTTGCTTAGGGATTTTGTGAACGTGCGCCGGATCGAGAGAAGAAGAGACAGGTACATTTCCTCAGGGATGTCGACCACGCACAACCTGAAGCCTCCGCTCTCCAAGTATGTCAGGTAAGAGGCAGGTTCTATTTTTTTAGCTGGTATCTGACACACGCACTTTGCTTAAGCTTAGGGCAAAGAGCCACTTAAATGAAAACCCTGCTGTCTTTCTGGCAGCGTTTGCAGGAAGCTAATCTATTTGTGGAACTAGACCTTGCTTCCCTTGTTCTTCTTCCTTTGTTAAAGAAACTCTCCGTGCTGTTCAGTGTTGCTCAGGCGTTTCCCAGCTCTCTGCTCAGGGGAGTGGAGGTGCCGACCAGTAACAGCACAAACCCCAACCCAGTCCGCATCCTGTTTATGTAACAGTTAATTCCCAAACAGGGCCGGCTGCCGTTTCTGAGGGGCAGTAAACAGCTGACTGTGGCTCCTTTTGAGCCTCTCGGATGCCTTTTGCTTCTCGTAAGCCAGTCACTTACTGACTTTAAAGGCTGCGGACGTTGCGAGATGGTCCCATGGGTGAAACGAGCTGCGTCAGGATGGACTGGCTCCCAAAGCGTTGGCAGGTCTTTGGCCTCTCCCCTTCCGAAGGGACAGCTTCGCCCGGCTGGTGATGGATCTCGGCGGGGTTAGTCTGATCAAACAAGGACTCCTTGTTACTGTCTGCTCCGGTGCCTGGGGCCCAGCTGTGCCACTTCGCGCACTGACTTTGTTTTTCCTAATAATCTGGTTAAAGTAATTGACATTTTAACTCAGAGCCGTTATAGCTGCCTCAGTCTATTTAAGACCTGGGGACTTCAGGGCCTAGAAAAATCTTTTTACAAATGTATGCAGCAAAAATAGTGTGTTCCTGAACAGGGAAGGGAAATCTGTATTTGGGCTGTGTGTGTGAGCACAGCTCTTGTCTCTGAGATGGATCAGATGGTGTGAGGAAGGATCTGGGGGCTGTAGTGACAAGGCTCCCCGCGCCAAGCCTGTCCTGACCGCGCAGGGTTTCCCTGGCTGCTCGGCTTCCCTGGGACCTCTCGTTTGCACCCATTTCCACAGGGTTGTGCCTCGGAAACCTCCCCGCGGTGCAGAGCTGGTGTCGGCTGGGTTCGCACGGTCCGGAGGCAGAGGCTGCTTCTCAGCCCGCAGCCCTGGCACCACTGCTGCCAGGGCACCTGTGGGAAACCTGCCTCGCCGTGCTTGCTCGTGTGCCTGCAGCCAAGCAGCTACCTTCCCGGGCGCTCTGCGCATCTGCTCTTACCCCGCTGGGCTCTCGTTCTCACTGCCAGGCGGAGGGGGTGGCTGCTGCTGCAGGAGCTAGCGCAGGATCGGTGCGGTGCACCCCAGAGCGTTAGAGAACGGCTTTACAGCTGGCCCCGGCTCTGACTGTGTGCTCTTGGTTCCCTGCAGGGGTGAGAATGGGCCCGGAGGATTCATCGTACTGAAATGTCCCAGCAACCCCAGGGTCTGCACGTTCATCTGGATTCTCAACACGGACCTGAAGGTAAAGCCAGTTCTTCGCTGATGCGCGAGCGCTGTGGCCGCATCCCGTCCCCAGCAGAGCTCACCCGCAGGCTCTGACATCCCCTGCGTCGCGCAGGCTGCGTGCTGAGGACCCGCTCTGTGCTCCCAGCCGAGCAGTGTGGGGCTGCAGTCCTGCTGGCCGCTTCTGAAAGCGGCTCATTATCAAAGGCTGCCCTAAAGGGACTCGAGTTCTGCTGGTGGACGCTAAACGCTACCTGAAAATCACCCTCTTTCCCCCTGAAGTTGCCCCGGTGTGAGGTGGGGAAGCTCTTCCTTACCTGGCAGAGATCTTGCTTAGGGGTTTCACATCTGTATGCAGGACTGGGGGAGAGGAGACTTTTATTCTCTTTGAGGACCGAAAATAGTGGGGCGTGTGAAGTGTTGCCTGGCTGCTTGCTGCTCCCAGGATCCCACCGAAGGGGTGATTTGCTCGCCCCTGCGTGCCCTGCTCCCACACCCCCTGGTACAAACGCGGCCACCCCTGGGGCGCGGGGGGCTGTGTCCGCAGCCGGGGACAGGCGCTTCGGCCGTATGAGATGACCCAGATCTGGAGCTATTTGCGGAGCTGCGTGTCGAGTCCTTGCTGGTGGCCCAGACAAAAGGCAGCGCACGAAGGGAGCCGGGGTCGGGCGGATGGGGGGAGCGGAGCTGGCCCGTTTTCTTCCTCCGCTGAAGGTTGACGTGGTAACGGCGCTGCAGCAGCGAGCACAAAGGCTCCATTCATCAGCCCTCTGCTGCAAAGCTGCACGGCCCCCTCCCCTCCCACGTCCCTCCCTCCCCACAAAGTAGATCAGCTCCTGCCTGCCTTGTGAAACGCTTTGGAAAGGATTTGCAGAAGCGCTCGCCTGGGCAGCGAAAGCAGGGGCAGAGCAGAGCGCGGCCTCGTGCCCCTTTGCGCTGGAGATGTGTTTTCTTTCGCGGATCTGGCTCCGATGCCTCTTCCGCCCCTCTGTAATGCGTGGGTTTGGAGGGATAATGAACCCAGTCGGTTGTGCAAGATGGGGCTCAGAAAGGAAAGATGTTCCTTGTGCTTCCCGGGCCGGACAGCACTCGCCCACTGCCTGCCTCCGCTGCTGGAAGAAATGCCGTAGCGGCCGAGCTATTAATAACCTGCCTGTCAACTGCTTCCACCATCTTCCTGAAGGGCTCTGCGAGTGCCCAGACCCCTCTTCTGTGCTGCCTTGCTATTTCCTTTGGCCCTGAAGAAGTATTTATAGCATATGGCTCATCCCTTCCTGCGACGAAGGGTGAGAATTAACACACGTGTGTGTGTTTGTGTCCGTGATGGAGCTTCACCGCAGAGCTCGTTTCAGGGAGGTGTCTGAAATGGCCCCTGGACCAAGGGTCTCGCAATCTCCTGCCCCCGTGTCGCAGAGAAAACCTGCTCCGGGGAAAGGTCTCTGCCTCCTGCCCTGCTGCAACGCCCCAGTCCAAGGTGGGGGTCCTCCTGTGCCTCCCTGACCCCCAGGACGGTCGGCCAGCCATCCCTGCCTGAGCTACCTGCGCCCAGGACCCCCTCTCTGCCCCGGGACCCTGCGCAAGCTCCCGGCGCTGCTCCTCAGCTCCCTTCCCACGCAGAGGCAAGGATTTTTTTTTTTTTTTTTTTTTTTTTTTTTTTTTTTCTCTAAAAAGGGAGAGGGGGAGGG